ACGTCGCTGGCCGTGGTCGTCGCCGTTTGTTGCTGGGGTGGTCGTGGCCGTTGTTGGTCGTGTGGCGTTGTCGTCGTTGTCGCTGTTGTCAATGTGGTTGGTGGTGGGTGGAAAGGAAAGGGTATTGCATTTGTTTGGTAACGTTGCCGTTGTTTGGTAACAGAAGTAAAATAAACAAACAAAGGACCGGATTCCGTTCCATTCCGTTCCTGTCAGTCCTGCGGAACATTCCGGTGTCAATTCCGGAATGCCCAAATTCCGCCGGAATGGTAAGGCACCGGAATGACAAAAATAGCAGGCCTCCCTGCCAAATTTCATTCCTCCGGAATCCACCGGAATCCGCAGGAATGACCGGATTCCTGCAGGAATTAGGGGGGCACTGATAAGACCTCCCTACCAGTCAGTACTCTTATAGATATAGTTCAGGCTTGCTCAAATTAGACAGACCATGCAGAGTCCTCAACAAACTTACAAGCTAACATTATAAACAACATTTCAGCCCCAGTTCAAAATGTGAATACAGGCCCTAACTATGGTTTGTTGCATTTGGATTATCAGATTTTATTGCCTTCACTTATATTTTAATAGGTACCATCAATCAAGGTAAGTAACAAGACAAATATTATATTCATCTTAATGTTGTTTGTTATCAGTAGGTGTTGACCCAAATATTCAAATAAAACTTGAGATGTTTGGGGATAAGCAACTGGGTATTATTGCAGGTTCTTACTTCAAATGTGTAATTGAACTTACATCTTTGACACAGTGAATGAGATTTATCAGTGGCTTTCTCCACCTAAGGAGTCTGTTAACTACAATGCTGCACATGAAATTCTGGAGAGTCAACCAGACACTTGTCAATGGTTTCTCAATGGAAATACATTTTATGGGTGGCTCAAACAGCCTGGCTTTCTCTGGATCAAAGGAAAATGTAAGTTTTCTGTCAACAGTTGTAAATTTATACATTATTGACAGTCTATCTAGCTGGCTCTGGGAAAACTATTTTGAGGTTGATTATCTTAATATTTTTCATGAAATAAAATTGATTTTTCTTTACAGCTCAGCAATAATTCACAATATTTTCCAAAGATTCAATGCTGCCACTGCATATTTCTTTTTTGATGGCAGAGACTCACAGAAGGATTTCCAGCTGCATGATAAATTACTGCGATCACTCATCTGGCAGTTCTCTCTGAAATGTGAGGGTGGAGTGCCTAAGGTCTTAGTGAATCTGTATGCTCACTGTGGCAATGGTCATAAAGAGCCAACTCTGGGTGATCTGCAGAATACTCTTCAAGCAATTCTTGATGGCTTTAGTTCAACTTTCATCATTCTGGATGCTCTTGATGAATGTACTGAAAGAGAAAAGCTTCTTAACTGGATTCAGACTTTTATTCTTGAGAAAGATAAAAATCTTGGACTCCACTTGTTAGTTACTAGCCGTCCAGAACAGGAGATTGAGGACAAGTTCAAGTCTTCTTGTTATATTGACTTGGTTGAGGAATCTGAGAATCATGATCTTGTAGCCTATCTTGACTATCAGCTTCAGAATGACTCTGACTTGCAAAAATGGGACTCTGACACTCAAGAGGAAGTCAAGTTGAAGTTAATGGAACAAGTGTTGAGGGAGACATCTCGTGACCTCAATGTTTACGCGTACGCTTTATTTATCCCTCCTATTCATTCTCCCTTTTCTACATATACTTCCGGTATTTGCTAGTCTTTACCCAAGCCACCCGAATTTTCCTATATATATGAAAACCTTATTTCCCTCCACCTCAGTCGTCACCACCATTGTGTCTGACTCTGAGGTGAGATTATTCCTACTTATGTTTACCTACTTGACACTGACGTTACCTGTACCTAGCTCTTCGTACGTTAACAGGTAACTAGACAATACAGTCGTCACCACCATTGTGTCTGACTCTGAGCTCTTCGTACGTTAACAACAAGCAGATGGAATGTATGTTTATTATCAACATTTGAATGACACAATGAGTGTTAAATACAATTTTAGGTTTCGTTGGGTTGCATTACAGTTAAATGAGCTTAAAAAGTGCTGGACCAAGGCTGATCTCAAGAAGCAGCTAGCTGATCTACCCCAGGGTTTAGATAAAACTTATGACAGAATCTTGCTAGGAATCAATGAAAAAGCTCATTGCTATGCTAAAACTTTTCTACAGTGGCTGTCATTTGCTGTTCGTCCACTGACACTAAAAGAGTTAGCTGCAACTGCATCTATTGATCTTTCTGCTGAGAATGGACCAGAGTACAACTCTGATAATGAACTTCAAGATGTGGAGGATGTCTTGAAAATATGTTCTAGTTTTATTATGAAATCAGAAGGTGTGTTTAGAAGAATAACAGATTGAAATGGGCACTGACTATTAGATAGGCTTCATCAAGCTTTCCCACTTTTCTGTCAAGGAATATCTAATATCCCAGTATATTCAAAGCCATCATGTGAAGCAAGTCAGATACTTCAGTTTCAGTGAGGAGCTATCACACTCTGTCATATCTCAAATCTGTCTGGCCTATCTTCTGCAATTCAATACATCTGAGCCACTTGATATCAATCTGGATCTATCTTCCCCTCTTGCAAAATATGCTGCAGAACACTGGATCACACATGCACATTCTGGTTGCCAGTCATCTTCAATATTTGCATTGATCTGACAGATGAAGACAATGCTTTTGTGAACTGGATTCGAATTTATGATATAGATACATATGATATAGATCTACAAAGACATAGGGATGAGATTGCTAAACCACTATATTATGCATCACTGGCTGGACTAACTGAAGCATCATATGTTTTGTTGGAAAGGACGGCAGATGTAAATGCACAGGGAGGAGACTATGGAAATGCACTGCAGGCAGCATCATATAAAGGCCATGAGGCAATTGCAAAGCTGCTCATAGACAAGAGAGCAGATGTAAATGCACAGGGAGGATACTATGGAAATGCACTCCAGGCAGCATCATGGGAAGGCCATGAGGCAATTG